TTTCTTTTTATCTATTTTTGTTTTGATATGTCTTCTGTCCTTTATTCTCATTGTCTGTGACATACTATCTGTAATTTGCATCTACCTATCTGTTAAGAGAACATGTCTGCTGATTTGGAAATATAGTTGACTGGTTGACCAGTTGACCAGTAGCCTATCGCTCATTTTGCAATTGTAATGCCTGTCAAAGGTCTGTGAGGTCTTATAATAAACTTTACACTGACCAACTTTGGGTAAATAAGACAGTGTATATGTGCACCGCAGTAGTTCGGTATATATCACTTAACCGAGTTGGTCACGGTTGGACTCATAGCCATGCAAACCCTGCTGCATGGCATATCTTGCTTTGTCTTACAACATTTTAAGTATTCTTTCTTTTGCCAATTATTTTTAATTGAGTCTACTGGCTATTTGTCTTTTGCAGAGGATAATAATTTTCTATCTGAAATGACAAAAGGTAAGAAAGAATCATGATTCAAGTGCCACTGAATATTTTCACCTGCTCATCCTTACTAACGTGCAACTATCAATTCATGTGTCCCCCTTTTTAAGTTGTGAAATGCAACATAACAGGTGAGCCTTGATTAGACACTTTGCTACAATGTTTGAGGAAACATTGCATATAATATAATGTACAATGTGGCAGAAACAGGTAAAAACCAAAAGAGATAGAAGGAATGCAAATGTATTAGATTTGTGTGTAAGACAGGCCTTTTTTTTGTAGAATTCATGTGTGTGAATGTGTGTGTGTTTGAGGCAACCATTAGCCCTAATACAACAAAGTTATTTTTGTGAAGCTACATTCTTACTATAACTATTACTACAACTATAGATTATTAGAAGTTGTACTTTTCTGTATCTCCCCTTCCACTTCACTCAGCGACATTATAAACAAGAATTTGTTTATAAAGTGGTTTTACAAACTTTAATTAATCAACACTGTTAGAAAGAACCAAAGACAGTGAGACAAGACAGATGGAAAAATACTTCAGTCCAGCTTGTGCTGGAGCAAATCTGACACAGCCTTCATGTTCATGTGTCAAACAAGTTTTATACAGAACATTTCCAGCACTCACACAGTCCAGAGTTCCCCTCTTGACAGAGAAGGCTTTTAACTGGCTGCTCAGACAGGAAGCAAAGGATAACTCACCTGATGCTCTTCTGATGAATCGGTTTATGACTGGGGCTGCAAAAGCATAAGAAATATACATTTCACCATAAAGTTAATGTATCTTACAGTAACTGGAAATTATTAATTTATTGCTGCATCTACAGTGGCACATGTGCAGCAGAGTATGCCAAGCCCTTAAGGATCCATCTTCATTTGGGTAAAACCAGAATAAGGACAGCTGCTTTGAAGCTTGTCTGCCACTTTGAATCCAATTTGAATTAGAATAACACATTTAAATGTAAAACAAGTCCGAACCTTTGACACACAATAACCCGGTATGAAATATACATTAGACAGGAGGTGTCATCCGTTAATGGTCTGCCAGCCGGGTATGCTCATTTAAAATATCATCATGACAAGACACTGGAGTTTTGATCCGTACACAACTGTGACTCAAAAAATACTAAACTATATAATTTGATGATAGAATAAAGAGGCCTTATGTAATCATTGCAGCCAGCCTTGTGGACCCCACTGCTCATTGGGATGCTGTGTCAGAGCTCTGGGTTGCTATGCTACTTGCTGCACCTTCACTGGCTATTGTGATGAAAATGAGCAGTTTATGAAAACATCACATCATATAACATCATGACATCACATTAGAGGTTTAGGTCCATGTCTTTTTCTGCTATTTGTCATATTTTTGGATGTATAATCAGAGTAAAGGCCCAGCCGGCCAGCAACTGAAAATTATACAAATGACCTACGGGAGCAATGTGTTACTTTAAACGAGAAAAAAATCTCCTGGTGCCTTTGATCTTGCAGCTATTTTTAAGGCTGTCCCTCTTGTGTCTGCACAGATGATGTTCATTAAGCATCATTCTGCCTCTGTGACCATATATGGAAAATGACAGAGCCGTGGTGGATGCAAGGTGGAGAAGAGCTGGAGCATCACTGCGCTCAATGTGTCCCACATCATCCTCAGCGATGCATGCTCACAATACGAATCAAAGTAAGATCATCCACCTTCACATTCGCCATCTTCTCGAAATGTATTATCCTACCTATGAATTCCTCGTCATCGTCGTCCTCCTCCTCCTCCTCTCCGTTCTCCGAGTCGATCTGCATGGCTTCGTCAATGAAGTTGACCGCTTTCCCAGGTCTCGGGGCCGAATTTTGGTCATTGCCACACGAGGCCTCTTTGGTCTCCCGGTCCTTCAGCTGGGTGAAGTACTGCAGCGCGAACTCGAGCAAATCCCTGGGCTGGTTCCTCAACACTTCCACGGTAAAGCTCTGTAGCAGCTCCGTCAGTCCTTCAGGAATTTCTATACTCATTCCTGTTCTCAGTCTATGAATGTGAACTAAACCGGTTTGCTGCGATTTTCTTTTGTGAATTAAATCAAAGGCACACAAGCAAGCACGCGAAAATCGGATGAAAAAAAACAAAAGCCAGCGGATTGGAGCAGACGGGGTGTAGTCAGACCACCCAGTCAGTCAGCAGCAGGCCATCAGCATCAGCAGCGGATCTTCGCTTTTTCCTTCAATGAAAATGGCTGTGGGTTTTTGGTCCAAGCATCATCTTCTGCTGCTGCTGCTTCTGGCTACAGGAAACCCACGCATGTGACCCAGGAAACCATGGCAACCACCTATCCAGGGATTGCGTATGAGCAGCAGCAGAATCTGCAGCCAGTCGCAAAATACAAATGAGAGAAACCCTTGGCTTTCATGATTCACACACCGATTTTCACTGAGAGAGATAAGAGGACATGGCGGGTGTCCATATTATGTGAGTTGTATATTACATGTTTTGTGGCATTGATACTGTTTATTCGCACAGGCAGAAAATGTCTCACATCTGTTCTAAAAA